CCCCGTGGCATGCTTTCCTACGGCTTGAACACTTCCTTTCGCGAATGAGTCATTCTTGCTTTTCACCCTCCCCCTTCCTTGTACCCTCTGTTGCTCTGCTGCAGGGAGAGGACGATGGGACTCCTGCGTTGCCCCTAACACACACCACATCCCTATACCCACACCCATTTCATGGACTCGTTCAGTATTCCCACCCTGCAACCCCTTCTTCAGGCTCTCCGGGGTATGTGCCTTCCCTCTAGTCACTTGCTGTCTTTCTTGGGCTCTGGTACTGTTTGGGCTTCATTGGATTGCTGAGCTGGTAGTTACTCCTTGGTTTCTTCCCTCCTCTCCAGCAGATAGGTCTCTTTCTTGGACCTCTTACCTTTTCTCTAAGTAGTCCTGAAGCATCTGGCGCTGTTTGATAACCAGGGCCAATTCATTTACATCTTACATGTATTAATGCCTTGCACTCATTGCTCATGATCATTCTTGTTCTTGGGTCGTGTTTGTATGCTTCAGATGCGTATGCCAGTGAAGCATGCTTCCAGAAGGAAAATACCCAATAACCAGCCTTTTCCTGCTGGGCCCTTCTTTGACTTGGCTCCTAGCCCCACCTCCATCCCTTTACACCCCACTCTTTTAGGCTTTATTCTTGAAAATGCTTATTTAAAAAATAAAATATTGCATCAGTGGGGCGAAATGGGATCTTTAGAACATGCAAATGTTGTAGAAGGAAATAGAATGAAAATAATGAGCAACTGGAAAAGCCATCTTGAACTTCCTACAGAATTGTAATTTTTAAAACTGTGTTGGTGGATTTAGTAGTTTCAAGTTGCCAAAAGGTATTCACTAAACACTGTACCACCCTTCACTGTAAAACATCAGGTTATTCTTTATATTTATATGTTCACTGAGCCGTGGGCTTTGATATCTTGAAAATACAGTGACTTGTGATTTCAACATAGTTTCCTGAATTTCAAAATTCAGTATAGTGGTGGTTTCTTTTTTTCTCCCCCTGAGCTTTCTTGTGAATTTTGTGTGGCCAAATTGACAATTATATCCTAATTCTAGAAGTGATTATATTTCGGGGGTTAACTTGTATTGTTGCAGAGAGCAGAACTAGGATCCTTGGGTAGAAGTTCAGGGAGGCAGATTTTCAATGATTGTAAGGAAGAAGAATCTTGTAACAGTGGAGTGGACTGCCTTGCAAAAATAGTGAATGTCCGTTGCTTAAAGTATTAAAAGAAAAGCTGGAGGACCTTTTGCCTGGAAGTTAGTATAAAGAATTCCTGCAGTGAGGGACTTCTAAGGCCTTTTCCAACTCTTAAGATTTTGTGATTTGAGAATAGTTGCACTTCAAAGGTGGTAAAACGTTTTTAAGGTCCTCTGAAGACAAGTATCATAGGATAGAAATTTAGTAAAATTTATTTATGTGTAGTACTTTATGCTAGATTTTGGAAAGTTAACATTCCATCAGACCATTTTACTTCTCTTTACTAGTAAACCCTTTGAGAATAGTGGTCACCAGGTGTGATTTTGGCTGAGAAAGCAACTGAAAGTTAGTAGAGTCATGCAAATAAATACACTATAAACCAGTATTATAGTAACATCATTTCCCCTGGGCATTGTTTAAAACAGTTTATGCTATAATAATAACATACATACATATATCAAGTTATCATACTAAGTTCCTTGAGGTGAATGATTAGTATACAGTAAGGCCATATCTACTTGATATGACTTAATTAGCCAAAACTTAGTTATTAGAATATTGAGGTATAGTAATAGTCACTTTTGAGATAGGTAATTAAATTGATCATGTGGTAAGCTCAGTTGTTGAGCTGATATTTCTATGTCTACTTACCATGGTAACTTGGTTATTTCAGTTGTGTATGCATGGCCCTCGGAATCCTGGGACGTGTGTGTGTGTAACACTCAATAGTGTTTGTATGACTGATAAGCCAGTTACCTTTCCCTTTAAATTGTCTTCCTATTTCACTTCATCCAGCGCTGTGTTCAGCAGAGTTGTCTTGTGGTTCTTGTGTTCCGATATTTGGCTGCTGTCTGACCTGCATATATTTGCTCTTGCATCTCTTGCTGCATGAATAGGTTAAGTTGTTTGTTTTAAAAGAGAGCAAAAAGAATCTAGAGAACCATGAAATTAGAGATTTAATTTTGTAAGACTGGAGATTTAGATTTTTTAATTAATAATTTTAAGCGTTTCATTTTACTTTTTCACTGTGGGAGGTGTAGGACATTTTAATACTGTCAGCTTTTCAATATTCATTTTGGGGATTAAAAAAATCTATTGATCATCTACTGGGTATGTGTGGCTGTTATAGATACTAACATGCATAAGACATTGACCCTGTCTATCAGGATCATGTAATCTTGGAGGGGGCAGAAAGAACAAATGTGAGATGAGAGGGTAGAAAAGGAGAGCGAGGGAAATGATACCGCATGTATATGAATAGCTGGTTTGTAATGGCCAGTATTGTCTGAATTCAGATTAAGATAAATTCACTACTGGCAATAGTAGAAGTAACAGTATCTCACATCTCTTGGGTTTTTGTCTGTGCCAGGCATCATGCCAAGTGCTTTACGTGGATTAACTCATTTACTCCTCACAATATGTCCAAAGGAAATTGCTATTATCCCTATCTTACAGATGAAGAAACTGAAGCAAAGAGCCATTAAGGAATGTGCCCAGTGTCACTTAGCTGTTGAAGATTTGTCTAACTTTAGAATTTTCCATCTGGTAATCAAAGAAAAGTACACATAGTAGGTGGATCTCAAACTAGGCCTTTAAGGATGGGTAGAATATGTATAGGCTGGGATAGAAGCTGGGAAGTAGAGAGTATTCCAGGTGGAGAGAAGCTATATTCCCAACACTTACAGGCAGAAAAGTACAAGGCATATCTGAAGGACTTAACTAGACCAGTTTGAAGAAGGATTTCTTTGGAAGAGTAGTAAGAGATAAAGGTGAAGAGGAAGCTGGGACTGCTTAGACTCCTGAGCTTAGGAGGTTGAACTTGATGGGGAAGGTAATGGAGAGTCTTCAGAGGTTTTGAACAGATATAATCACAGTGGTGTTTTAAGAAAATTGATCTGGCAGCTGTTGGCCAGAGGGATTTGAGAGAGGCAAAGGAAGGCCATGAGTGGAACCAGTTAGAGGCTATTGTGGTAGCTCAGGTGTAAGATAAAAAGGCCTAAACTGGGGATGTGAACTGGTAGTGGAAAGAAAGGGACAGATGTGAGGGATTATGGAGAAAACACAAAGGGCCTGGGAACTGACTGGATATAGGGGAGGAGGAATCAGAGATGCCAACTCTTGGAATGTATTGTTCTTCTAAGATAATAGATGTTTCCTAATTAATAGGAGGCAATTTAAGAATTATCTCTTTCCTTCTTTCTGGTATGAATTTTATGA